AAAAAAAAACAAAAAACTTATATTTAACGAACAAAAAATGCTCCAAACGTTTTTTAAATTAACTTAATAAAAAAACGAAACGAAATAATCACTTTGCTATTACATACAAAACTGAACTATTTTAATAGCTGAAACAGTAGTATAAGCTGTTTTGGGAGAAGGGGAAAAAAAGAGGCGCTCGGGTCGGTAATTCTGATAAGCTGTCGGACACGGGACGGGCTAGGGCCTGAGCGTCTCGGGCCAGGGCCGTGCAGGGCTCTAGTTTTAATGGCAGTAAGGAGAATATGGGAGATTACTAGGGGGGACAGACAAAACAGATGGAGAGGAGAGAAATATGTTGGAGAGAGAGAACGGGAAAGTGAGGACAGGATTAAAAACAGACAGGTGAACAGACAGAGATACTGTATATACAAGAGCTTTGTCATTCATTCATTATGGATTTAGACTCTCAGATAATCCCACTACATCATGGCCTAAATTCTGATGTACAAAGCTCTCATTTTGTCTGACTTTTAGTATATTAATCCAATGAGCAGATTAAAAATATAATATGCCCCAAGACTGCCAAATACATAGAGGTGGAGACCTCGCATGGGACAAATTAGGATTCAGTGACTGAAAAAGAAAAGGTCAGTCAAAATAAAACAAAACAAAACAAAGATTTAACAAGAGATACAGGACAAGTCATGCTATTTTTTCTTTTCTTTTAATAGAAAGGCATCAAGGTTCTTTAATTCTGCCCCTTAACTGTAAAAGCGAAGGGTGTTCATTTGCACCCCTTTACCACAAACAACAACCCAGCCCACCCTCCCCAACATCAGGCAGAAGAAACAAACACATTTACACAGTAATACGACCGAATGCTGTGACTCCCAGCAAATAAAGCGTTTTTTCCCTTCAAGTAAAGACAAATAAATCACAATTATCTTTTTTTTTTTTTCAAAGATTAGGCAAGAATAACCCAAATACCACACAAATAGCAAATAAGGTTTGGGAGAAACAGAATGCACAATTACAGAGACAGACTATGTTTTTTTTAACACTTTGGACGCCGTTCCAAATTCTGTTCCAGTTACTGTTTTAAAGTGACTGAAAGATTTAAAGGAATAATTTACCCATGAATTAATATTCTGTTCATTTATTTTTTCACCCTCATGTCATTCCAAACCTGTATCACTTTATATTTATAGCAGGATGACCTTGATATTCTTTTCAATAGGATGAAAGTGAATTCCTGGTCTCTATTCACATTCACTGTATGGGAAAGTACAGCTTGGACATTCCACTTAATATCTTCTTTTGCGGAATAAAGAAAGTAATACAATACAGGTTTGGAAAGACATGAGGGTGAGAAAATTATTAAAATTTTCAGGTTAGAGTGAGCTATTCCTAGTAAAACTATCAGTTTTAATAATCAAAACAGTCAGAACTAGATTTCTAATTCTTTATGTTGGAGCGAAGTCTTTTTTTTTTTTTTTTTACAATTCTTAATACTTCCAAGAATTCTGGAAAAGGGGAATGCAAAACAATACTGCAAGCACATCCTAAAACTTTGAAGATGTGTTTGACTGGTAAAGGGTGCAATACTTGAGCAAGACAAGGCTTCATGAATTTGCAAGGCAATGCTAAGAACAGCCTGAGCACAATACAGTTGATAGTTCCACCACACTGGGCACCTGAACGCAAGGAATAGGACAGACAAGGTAAAAATATACACAAATCAATAAATCATTTCCTCAGCAGTCATATTTATACACTTTTGTGCTCAATGTGCCTTTATAAAAGAACTTCTCTTTAAGCAAAACAACAACAACAAAATCAAAACACAGCAGACAGCAGTCAATATCCAGAAAAAGCACTGGTCTAACAAGAGCAACATTTTTCCATGCCACAAGCTTCAGATGTCATCTCACATACACACTTTTTTCATTCTTTACTTTGTTTAATAAACACACAAAAAGACGATTTCTGAACAGTCCTCACCAGTGCTGACAGATTCACCAAGCAAAAGTGCCGAGTTGGGGAAAACAAGAAAGAAACAAGACAGCATTGTACAAATCCATGCAGAAAACACTTCCATTCTGTTTAGGTTGATAGTCATGTGAACATGCTCAATGGATCCTTGTGGAAGATATATTTAACCTTTACTCATCCATGTGTGTGAAATATTATATCGGAGTGTCTCTGTTTCTCCTAAAGGCCACTTTGAGCTTTTAGGAAGAGACGGACTAAGAGAGAACTACTGGACAATTGGAAAGCAGAACAGCTGAAAGGCTTCCAAGAACAGACAGATCTTATGCAAATCAACATGAAAATCCAGTTGAACATACTATAGAGATAAAAAAATAAACAAAAAGCAAAACAAACAAAAACTGAGAATAAAAAAAAAAAATCCAAACCTCAGCAGTGTTGATATTTAGGTGTTACAGTACCAAGACATAAATGCACTGGGAATATCATCTATTTCATAACAGTATCCGTTACCCGTTTTTTTTTTAATCTCTTTCACACACTCACACACACACACACACACACACACACACACACAGTGACAAACACACCCCCCTACTTCTAAGGGAGAACGGAACCCTCACTGGCCACGCCCCTCAAACTTCATCAGCCAATCACCTCCCTTGCCTAGCATGCTTGAGAGCTCCACTGCAGTGCTGATGTCATGGGCAGGTTCAAGAGACCGTCTTTAGTCCGTAGAGCTTCAGTGTGGTCTTTCATCCATCGATCCTTTCCACAACTACATTCAGTCTGGAGTCCTTCTCCTTCCCTCGTTCTCTACAGAGATGTGGAAGGAAGCTTTTTCACCCGTCTCTGTGCCAGGAATGAGGACTCGATGGACTTCAGCTCAGGGGGTGGTTGGGAACTCTTCAGTGCCGAGTATGTGGCAGCCATCGCCCCCTGTGAGGAGAGAGTTGGTGAAGTAATAGACCACCATTTTTGTTCTATATAATACATTTAAGAGCCTCATGGCTTCGATACCTTGACAAGCTTGGCATCTTGATGTTGTAGCTGGCTGTTGGGAAGTTTGTCTCTCTGAATGATCCACGGATGCTTCAGGACCTGCTTGGCTGTGAGCCGCTGGTGAGGGTCCACATGGAGCATCTTAGAGACCAAATCCTGCATGAAAAATCGTGCATGAGAGAAAATAAAAACCCCAATCCATCAGAGCAGTTTGAATGGCTATGTGGATGGGGGTGGGGTCATGGCCTACTTTGGCAGCATCAGACACTGCGTCCCAGTTGCCTCCCGTCAGAGTAAAGTGTCCGCTCCCTATCCGACTCAGAATTTCTTCTGGAGTGTCTTCTGGTCCATTGGCAAATGGTGTAAAACTGGTACAATTAAAAACCAAAGGAAAAATGAGTGTGGATGTGGGTGTGTTTTCAGATTTTATGTGGAAACTGAGTGTGCGATATTTATTAATAATGTGAGTGAATGTGTGTGCGATCTTACCCAGCAATCATAGTGTATAGTAATACTCCAAGACTCCAAATGTCACAGCCCTCATCATAGCCCTGTCTTTTCAGTACCTGCAACACAAAGCGATACGTTTCAGCACAGTCACTGAGAATAATACTCAAAACAACATATCACAAAAACATCACACTGACGCCAGAGAATTTAAAGCCACATAGTACAAACTGTACTTTGCTACAAATAACTCCTGTAGAGAAGCATACAAAGTCCCAACTAATGTGTTTTTCATTATCACTGTAGTTATAATGTAGTTATAAAACATTGGGCATTTAATATGTTTATTGGTCTACTCTATACAGAATTCCCCAGTCTGTTGTGAGAACAAGCACTCACCTCGGGTGCTACAAAGTTGGCAGTATAGCAGGGTGTCATGAGAAGGCCATTGTCTGCCCGGAGCTGCTTGGCAAACCCAAAATCACAGATGCGTAGAGATTCTGGATTTCCAGACTCATCGACATACAGAATATTACTGGGCTTCAGGTCCCGGTGCACAACCTTGTAGAATAAAAAAATTGGGATTAAAACATCTACCTGTCATCTTTAGGTGCAAAAAGCTTTTATATGTGCCAACTAGTAACTGTACCATTAATAGTGCAGCAGTTATGAAAAAGACTACATTATATCAAATTTAAAGTTGAGTGTTAAAATTGCCCCCACAATAGGCAACCGTACCACTTGAATAATTTTTTTAACCCACTGTATCTCAAATAAGATGATACCTTAAGTAATAATATTATTGTCTATTAATATTAATAATATCCCACTCTATGTGGGATCTATGTTATAATTCTATTAAATATTGTGATAAAATAAATGTAGTGTTACAATTGCCCTCAGTCCCTCTTTACTATTATATTTGGGAACGATTTCAAAGAAGAGTGGTTTAATTTAATTGATTTGAGTCAATGTTTTCATTCTTCAAGTGTTACAACTGCCCCCAATTCCACTTTACCATTATATCAGTGTATGATTTCAAGGAAGAGTGGTTTAATTGAATTGAGTCCATTTTTTAATTTTTCAAGCACTGCTATAATATATGCTATAAAAAACTACAGGATGATAGGCCTCAGAAGCCTATCTGTTGTGGTTCTTCTGGGAAAGATGTCAACATAAAAACTATTTATTCACAATAAATGTTGCAAACAGAGGAGAGGGTACAGAGGGGAGTAGAACAGAAGAGGGCCTAGGGAAGAGCCCTGGGGAACACGTTTAGAGAGGAGGGGGGGAAAAAGGCTCTGTCACAAGCTGTGAATCATAATAACATATTCTGTGCTAGTGGCAGGTTATTAACAACAAGACAGATGTAATTGTGTTTGTCCATGCATGTTTTCTCACCCCTTGAGAGTGCAGGTATTCCACAGTCTTTGTGATAGTGTGCAGCACAGCACTAGCCTCTCTCTCTGAGAAAAACTTCTGCTTGAGGATTCTGTCCAGCAGTTCACCTCCTCGCATCAGCTCAGTGACCAGGTACACCTGCTTCCCATTATCATACACCTGCACCACAAGTTTCTTTTAAATTAAATTTGGAGTGGTAGCATTTTTAGCTCCCTGTATTGTGTGCAAATATTAAATTTCAATAATGCAGATGATTTCTGCAGATCAGTTAATTGTGAAATAATATGCTGTTGTACTAACATCTTTGAGAGTGATGATGTTGGGGTGCTGGCCGTATCTCAGCAGGATCTCAATCTCTTCTGACGGGTCAGTGTTTGTTTTATCAATCACCTATCAGAATTATACAATAAATGATGTACAGTATAAGTCACCTGAAGACCACATGCATCTAAAACTTTTTTAGTGAACATAGCCTTCATCTTTTTGTTGATGACGTTCAAGTAAAAGAACATTCAAAAGAAAATATATTTTTTATTTAAATAAATAAATAAATATAGATTTATACCGTCTGAAACACAGATTTTAGGATTCATAACTACTGTTATTTTCTACAAAGCATCAAAATATGTCTAAAAAACCAAACTGACTCTAAAATGCAGTTTCATCAAAAACAGAGTCACATATGCTTAGGTAACCTAACCAATAATGCTGATGTCAAAAAAAGAAGAGATCATTCAAAGCCACTTGTATGACATCCGTACAATATTTAGAGAGGTTAACAGAGTGAGGCACTAACCTTCACTGCATACTCTGTGTTGGTTGCTTTGTGTATGCAGCGTTTGCAGACAGAGAAAGAGCCCATGCCGATGTCCTCCTTCAGTATGTAACCATCACTGAACAAGATGTTCTTACCGTGAAGCTGCTGCTTGAAGACAGATACACAACAGAGAGTATTAGAACAGCCACACACACACACACACACACACACACACACCAATAGTAAAATCTAATAATTATAATGAACATACTGATTACATTCTTTCAAACACAGGCAAAAACACTGCATACTATCATTACAGTTTGAACTCAATACAGAGAATGCTGGATAGCACAGACTGAAGATATCACTCATACTGAGTAAAGCCATTTACTTTGTGCAGAACTAAGTTTTCACTAATCGCATCCTTTATTAACACTGAACCACTGTATCATCTTCATCTCCATTAAAGTGCATTATGCTCACTCTTACATGATTCAAAGTGAAAAGGTAGAAATACTGCTATCTAGTGGTCAGCCATTTCAAGCTCATTTAATCATAAATCATAGGATGTTTGGGGTTCAAAACAAGTTATACTCTAACCTCAAGCAATTTAATTTGTTTCATAAGTGAACACCTCTTAAACAGTCCGTGCAGGTGTTAAGGTCAGATATCCTTATCACTTTCATCATTGCATTTAAACAGCCATGACAAAAACTGGACACTGTAACTGCACAAAAAACTTAATTATGTTCTGTGCTAATTAACAGCATTCCACTGGTTAACTTAACTTTAACCTGTCCTGAACCCTGTAATACTGTCGTACACTGTCATAAAAGCTGAGAAGGATTGGCGCATTAACCACAGCAAAATACAAAGTGTTATTTTCAGGTGTATTTCTACATATAGCTGATTACTTACCTGTACTACAGGGTGTGGAGGGGGCTGAGATGGCTCTTCTTTGCCCTCCTCCTCTAGCATCGCCGTGGCAACAAAGCTGAAGCCCCGGAAGAGCTGATGAGCCCCTGCGCTGGGGGGAACCCCTGGGGAATCTGAGAAAGGCCAAGAAGCAGAGAGATCATGAAGCCCACACTCATATTCCATATTATCCATGCTGATGACATTTGAAAAATCCACCCAAAGCTCCAAATTTACTGCAGTGAGCTCAGCTTGAAGATCAAGATGAAATGACAGCCATCTGTTCTATGGCTACCCTATACATGAAGAGACTACAGAAAGAGAGTTCATCCAAAAATGAATTTTGTGATTATTAAGCCATTCAATGCTGTATTCTTTTTTTTTCTTTTGTGTAACATAAAAGGAGATGCTGAGCAGAATTTTCACGCTGCTCTTTTCCATAAAATGAAAGTGAATGGAGACCATGGTTAGATGTAACAAATCTTGCAAGACTTTAGTGAATAATTACTTAAAATTTGGTCTGTCCCTCATTCAGCGCTACCGTACGGATTCAGAAGACTTGATATATAGCGTCTGGTGCTGTAATTATATTTTTTTGTCTTTTCTGGAGTTTGACAGCCTCTGGCCTCCATCCACATTTATTATATGTATAAGAGCAACTTTCTGATAACATTCTGCTTCTTTTGTTTTCACCAGAACAAAGGTTATCGTTTAGGTTTCAAACAACATGAGGGTGGGTATTTTATTTTTAGGTGAACTATCTCTTTAAATTCTCCAGTAGTTTGTTTTGAATTGTCAACTATTCTCGCCATGGTCCAAAAAAATCAAACTGACCACAAGAACTAATGAGACTAGTCACAGATCATAGAAATTATCCCTCACCTTTGGGGGTACGAGAAGTGAACTCCGAGTCAAAGTAAAAGGTGTCGTCAGGTCTGGCCACTGCTGGCTTGAATGGAGGTTTTATTTCTCGTCTAAATAGTTTCTGAAAATGATTATACATTTTTTTTTTCACACTCAACCATTACTGAAGCCTTTAATAGAACTATTGCTTTAGATTTGCAGGAATCTGAAGAACTTACATTCCAATCAATCGTCATGAAGAATGAATGCCGTTTGATTTCCTCAGCTCCATCTGGTCCAGATCCTGGTAAAAGTTAATGCATGAATAAAACTCTTAATGTGAAAATATAGCACATTAAATGAAATTTTCCTGGCAACTACATCAATATAACTGACTTAACTGGAAAAGGAAGTTCATCGCATGATTACATTTTAAAACACTAAATTCTAAAAAGAATATATAAAACAATCTGATTGTGTATATGTTGGTCGCCGTGATTTTGCCAAGTAAGACATGTTCCTGGATCAACATCTTTTGTTGACCCTGGATGAACACTACTGTCCAAAAATACAGACTTAACCCAATCCCTACCCCTAAACCTAACCCTACCCATAATTGATTCCTAAAATCAATGTGAAATGATAGCTGATTAACAAGGGTGTAGAAGCACCTAACCCTGATCGTAAGCCTAAAACAGATATTTCCTGAAAAGTTATCCCTCAATTTTGATTGGTTAATTGGAATGTTGTTCCAGGATCAACAAGGATGTTGATCCAGGAACATGTTGTACTTGGTGAAATCACGGTCACAGTATATGTTACCCAGTCTGTTGGTGGGGTTCCTCTTGAATAGGGCTCTCAGTAAGTTCTGAGCCTCAGCGCTCAGGAACTGAGGCATCCCCAACCTCGCTCTGAGAAGAAAACCGAACAATAATCATGACTCAAAAACTGATCAATGTTCACTACATATATGCTACTCTACAAAAGTTTTGGTAAGATTTTTTGACAATATTGAAAGAAGTTAATAAATATCTTTTGCAATTAAGTGAAATTCCAAAAGAACCGCATTCATTGATTCATGACATTATAAATGACTTACTGTCATGTCTCCTTGCTGAATAAAAGTATTAATTTAGTGTATAAAAAGTCAACATTAATACATAATAGAGATCAATTGTTGTTTAACAGCTTATATTGTTTTTCTTCCAACAGCTTGCTAATAACAAATTAGGCAAACCAATGAAATGGAAAATGATGCTCTGAGGACTATTTCCTGGAACAAAAAAATAAGCCCAATCATAACGTAAAACACATTTATCCTAAATGCTTCGTTTAAAAACCAATTTGACAGAATTATTTAAAGACTCTATGAGAACAACAAAAATAAATGGATTCTCACTTCAGGATGAGATTCATTGTTTCTTTTCTGTCCTTTCCCTGGAATGGCAGAGAACCCGTAAGCATCTCAAACTGTTTAAGAGAAACCGAAAACAACCATTAAAGCAAAATATATTAGACAAAATATAACTGACATCAAAGCAGGTTTTCTCCACTTCTGCATGAATCTGTTCATACCATCAGTACCCCAAATGACCACCAGTCAGCACTGTGGGTGTGACCCTGCCGGTTAACCACCTCTGGAGCCATGTACTCCACCGTCCCGCAGAAGGAGTAAGCCTTCTTCTCATAGTCGATAGCCTCCTTACACAGTCCAAAATCTGAGAGAAAAAAAAACATAATGTTAAAAATAATTAACATCATGGCTGAATGTCTATCCTTTGGTAAACCGGTGTTTTATTGTACCTGTGAGTTTGATATGTCCCTCTTCATCCAGGAGGATGCTAGAGAATAGAACACAGAAAATTTATTTGTTATGCCTGTTACAGTGAGTCATGTTAAAATACAAATCTAAAGAATATCACACTCATACTTCACAGTAGGTAGCAGAATTCAACAAGTAGCAGAACTGATGGTGTGTGTGTGTGTTTATAAGGTCAAGTATCTCCTCAATGAGATTATGTTGTGTGTGTGTGTGTGTGTGTGTGTGTGTATAAGTACTTCTCAGGTTTGAGATCTCTGTAGATGATGCCGAGACCGTGCAGGTGATCTAGACCCAATGCCAGTTCAGCCAGATAAAACTTCACATCTTCTTCTGTAAACATCACCTGAACACCAAAGAGATTGTGTGAATACAAAGGAGACAAAGAAGAGGATATTGGGCTCATTGTTATGAGTATTATATACCTCTTTTGACAGCCTGGTGAACAGATCTCCTCCTCTGAGGAAGTCCAGAATCAGATAGAGTTTACCCTCCGTCTGAAAAGCTGAACACACACACACACACACGCACGCACGCACGCACACACACACACACACACACAAAGTGCACTTGTGACCAGTGTATCAACACTGAAGTTAATCAGATCTGTTAGTCATTTATTATAAACTCCTACAGCTTCCTCTATAATATAAGGCCACGGTTAAGCAGGTAAAATGCACTCAAATGAATGTAATAACACTGCAAACATGGAGTCTGAACTGTACAAAAAACCTTTTACTCTTTACATTAATTCAAGGACCAGAATCATTCAGGAACACTAAATTGAAGTCATTCAATAATTCCTACTTAATAAAATCACATACAGCACAGCAATTCAATAATAGTGCCTTTTGTGGCATTTAAAGGGATAGTTAATTCAAAAATGAAAATTGTCATAATTTACTCACCATCATGTCATTGAAGCTTCAAAAAGTATGCAAATGCCAAAAGACCAAACTTTAAGTTGTTATTCACTAATTATCTTCTCATCCATTGAGCTGAATCAGTGAGTTGAATCTGAGTCAATGAGTCAATGACTGAATCATTGAATCAACTTATTCACTGAAACTCAATCGGACTTCACTACTTATCTCAAAAACTTGTCAAGGAATGGACGGCAAGAATTTTAGTGAATAATTTAAATTCTTTCATGTTCATCAAATAAAGCTATCGTGTGACTTCTGAAGTCTTTGGAATAGGCTGCTTTTATGATACTTTAATGGTGCTAACTCACCATAATGGAGTTTAACCACAAACGGATGGTTGACGTCTGCCAGGATGTCTCTCTCCATTTTAGTCCTCACACGATCCCTCACTGTGACGAGAACAATTTCACACAGGTTTTGAGGAAATATTCGGCCACAGCTAACAAAGTCATCTTGAGCATGAGAACATTTTCTACTGCAAGTGACTGAAGCGGAAGTCTAAAGCAGAAGTTTATCAGATAGCATATGTTTGTAGGAAGTGTTGTTATCAGCTCTCATTAGATCTGTGAAGGGCTCTCTTTTTAGGACTGGAGATAAATAAGGAGGAGAGAAGAAGAGATAGCTACTATGATTTTAGTGAACTGACACCTAAACCTAAAACCTCAGGTTTGTAAGCATGGTGGGATTTTCTGTTATTGGGGTGCACACTAAAAAAACAGGAAGTGTGTGTACCCACAGAGGAGTTACCGTTAATCTGTGGCCTCGCTGACACTGACACAAATTTAGATTCACAGTTGAGGTAATATGCAAAAAAAAGCCAAAATATTGTGTATACTGACATTGCAAATCCCATCTGATAGGTTTGACAACAGTATATGAAAAACTGGTAAATTCAAATGGTAAATTCATGATTTGTGTAATCCTCAGGGTTGGTATCTGTGGTTACACAAAGACTGAGAGTGACACAAGAGTAAAGAAAGAAAAACAGGCCAGGAGAACAATGCGAAATGAAAGTAGCTGTTGTAGCGCTGTTTATGTTAGCAAAGGAAGCTTGTGTGGTTTGTGGTGTGTGTGTGTGTGTGTGTGTGTGTGTGTGTGTGTGTGTGTTTGTGTGTTTACACTGATGCTGTACCTTTGAGTGTGGCCTTTCTCAGGACCTTCATGGCATAGAGCTGGTTATTGTCAGGAGGGGTTACCTTTCGTACTAAAAACACCTGTGCACACACACACACACACACACACACACACAAACAAACACAAAAAACATGCTTTCACTCTACAGCGTTATTAAACTGTTGTGCTGAATGTGCCCAAAAGCAACTCAGGTTAAGTCAGTTTTTAAAGGCACTGGGATATTTATTGCTATTAAAAGAATATAAAATCTCATTAAAAAAATCTTCTCAGTTTTTCAGGTAGCACACCATCGTGGGGCAAACTTCACAATAAAATAACTGGTTCATTTTTATTTTATGAGTTAAAAAACTTCCCACGGGAAGTTGTATTGAATTGAATGACAGGAAGAGAACTTGACTGAATTGTAATTCAAAGAAATTCAATGCCGGTAAGTGTAGATATTCACAATGAACAGGTCATTGCTAAATGGGCGGGGCCGAGAGCCGTGGGAACGGAGCGAGGCCGGAAGGAGTAAATGATAATGAGCGACACCTGCGTCACTCACAGGTCTCGGGTCCCACGGAGGAGCTCCGGAAGGATAAAAGAAGGAATGAGGACAGTGAAGGACGAGAGAGGACCAGGCCTGAATTTTTTTGTTGTTGTTGTTGTTTTATGCGGCAGTTGTCCGTTGCCCAATTTGGACATTTTCACTTAGGGGTGTACTCACTTTTGTGGCCAGCGGTTTAGACATTAATGGCTGTGTGTTGAGGTATTTTGAGAGGACAGGAAGTTTACAGTTACACAAGCTGTACACTCACTACTTTACATTGTAGCAAAGTGTCATTTCTTCAGTGTTGTCACATGAAAAGATATAATATTTATTGTAAAAATATTTACAAAAATGTGAGGGGTGTACTCACTTCTGTGAGATACTGTAAATCAATTAAAATGAAGCATAAATTTCAACAAAAATTATGATAAGCATTTGATTGGTTTGATTGGAAACATTGGTTATTAAATCAAAATACATAATACAAAACAGAATTCTACATCCCGAAATTCAAATTTGATGCTGTTTTATTTGATTGCTAAATTAATTCAAAATCAGCAAATGAAATGGCCATTAAAGGAATTCTCTATTTAATTCTTAATGGTGATACATGCAAGGGCTGTGTGTAGGGGTGGATTACTGACTCCAAATTAATTCACGTTTGCTCTGGTTCAGAGAAGTAAAACCACTGTCAACCCTCTGAACATCATTACAAAACCACTATTAACAAGTCTTTGCTTCACAGTTCAAAGTCCACAAACACAAGACATCTATGGATTTGTGCAGTACAGAAGCATCTTCTTTTTAAAGTTTGTTTATATGAGAGTCTCTTTACCTTTCCAAATGAGCCCTGCCCCAGCACTTTAAGCAGCTCAAACTGTGAGGGGTCTGCTTTCTCCGCCCCCTCCTTAACAACATGTGTGATGTTGATCTCCTTGATGTCACCATCCTCCTACAACACAAGAGACAGAGATGGATATCAACTAAAGCTTCTGTCAGGATAGTTGGCATAAAACATATACAGAGCTTAATTATTAAAGCTCAAGGCTTAAGTGCACTATCTCCTATGAAGGAGTAAAATGAACTATTAGCCATTTTCTTTTTTATCATTTCACAATAACTGCTTATCATGTATCATAGAGCGGATTATCATGTACATATGTTACTGACTGGTGTTTGCTATTTCAAGATTAACACCACTGTCAATAACAAATATCTCCAGTGATCTAAACAACATTATGAGATCTGAATTAGACTAAGAGGGGGCTTCAAATAGCCACCTGTAGGAGATAGTTTCTAAAAAATGCTTATATATAATAATTATATCAGGGATTTTGTCAGGGATCAGGTGCATGTATGTGCCTTGAATTGAACCTGCAACTTCTGTGGTTTCATCAAAGACCATTAAGATACCACCACCACTTATTTAATAGTTATTTTGCAAGTTTCAGCAGCAAGGGTGCAGTTGAGATAAGTGAGGCGAAGTTCATGCAATTTAATGCCACATAGAAAAACACTTTAAACCTATCAGATCAGAGTGTGTAATGACTAGCAGTCTATCCTTTATTAAAGCTTATCAAAAGCATGTAGGCTTTGCTGAAAGTAAAGTGCTATGTGTCACATTTCCCCTGTGACTAGAGAGAAAGAGAGAGAGGGTAAACATGTTTAGGAGGAAATGGTTAATGGTTGAATCAAAATTAAACATGCATTCCGAGAACACAGTACAGTTAAAGCACACAAACACTGTTCACTAACACACTAACACATCAAACCCAGTTAGACTCATATCAGAAAAAAACAGCTGCATGTACAGCTGCAACCTACAATGCTGACTAACTGACCAATAAAATCATCACTGGAATGGAAACATTACCAATCCGTCAATAAATAAATCATTTAAAGAGATAGGCCTAGTTCAACTCAAAATTACAATTCCGTCATCATTTACTCATTCTGATGTTGTTCAAAACCTTTATGACTTTATTCTGTGGAACACAAAAGATATTCTGAGAAATGTGTCAGTGTTTTTTTTTTTCATACAATGGAAGTAAATGGTCACTAAAACTGTTCAGTTCCCAATAACTTATGCTTTACGGAAGAAGTCATACAAGTTTGAACATTTGGGTGAGGAAATGATGACAGAACTTTCATTTTTGGGTGATCTGTCACCTTGTGGCAGATGTTACAGTTGATGTTTGTGTTATTGTGTTAAGTTTTATAGTTTATGTACACATTATCTCATTAAAAAAGTCTACAGCACATAACAAATGCTAGTTTAGGTGGATGTTAGGAATTCAGTTTATGTTCACCAACTTTTCTGCACATGAATCAATTAGGCCCTGAGCTCAAATTAATTAATTGATTTCTTTGTGGTTAAAAAATCTCTCTCTCTATTATTCTAATTACTTTGCAATTTCACAATTATTTACTTCAAAAGCCTCTCAGTTTTATCAAAATCTGAAATCCATTTATTTTGGGGGGGCAATTTGTTGCAGTTTTAATGACGAACACAGGAATTCTGAACTTGACAGGTTTAAGGGTGTTGCTAACACTTGTATCATAAAAAGAGAAACAAACAGCCACAGCTTAGTGTCACAGAGCACTGAAGCACATCTCATAGCTGTTCTCCCGCAGATGTACCACATGAAAGATCCATCTGATGTCTTCTTGTCTCGAGAAGAACGACAAAATTCAAGTAAGAAACATCTGACAAAATCAAACAAAATCTGAGTGTTTGACTTGTAAAATGACATTCTAAGCAATTAAAGTAAAGAAAAGTTTGTTTACATATTCATAAAACCAGCCCTATTCAACAAAACAAATGTAACACTTCGTCTCAAAATACAACCACCCTAGCAGCAAACAGCAACTCCTCTACAAACCAATGCCACTATACTGTGTGTGTGTGTGTGCACTGACCGTCCACGTTGTATGTTCATCGGTTAAAGCTGCACTAGACTGAGCCGAGTTTGTGGTGCTGTTCGTCTCCTCTCTGGACTGAGTGGCATTCGCTAAAGTCTTACTGTGCTGCCGCCTGAACAGGTAGAGATTCAATAACTGACTGACTTTAAACTTCCTCTTCTCTTTCTCCATCTCTTCATCCCTCCTCTAGCCAGGGCATTCCACTGTTACCCCCATCCTCCTGCAGTCGGGGCAGCCATGGACAACAAAACTCATCCCAGAGAGGGAGTGAGCAGATTCTGACAGTGTGTGAGAGAGTATGGGGAGTCAGGGTGTGTGCTCTGCCCTACTCGACAACTACAGTGAGGCACGCAGGAAGAGGAAGGAAGAGACTGAGACCAGAAAACAGAACTGGTAAGAGAAAAAAAAACACACACACAGAGAGAGAGAGAGAGAGAGAGAGAGATAAAGGAAGGAAGGGAGGATGTGACAGTAATGTGTGACAGATGGAAGAAATAAATATATTATATATATATATATATATAATTTTATTATATAATAAAATAAATTTTTATTGATTCATAACTTACACTTATCATGTGCAGAATAAAAATAATTTTATTTTTATTAACATTACGGACACATTTATTTTATTATTATAGGTTTGTTATGAAGAAAAAATTGTTAATGTTGTGAATATGAAATACTTTGTATTATTTTATATCATTTTTTGTTACAAAATAATACTAAACTATAGTTTTAATAATAAAGCTAACATTACTAGTTTTATTTTATTCTGTTAACATTTTTACTTTTAGAAAGAATGAATGAAAAGAAACAGATGAAAGAACAACTGAATAAGAATGAGCAAGTGAACAAATGAAACACAGCAAGAAAGGAACAAACAAAAGAAAGAACAAATGAAAGAAAGAACAAACCAAAAAAAAAAAAGAAAAAGTACACAGATCCAGAAAAAGAAAGACCAAGAAAAAAATTGCGGCCTAAGATGTAGCTGAATGCCTGATTCTGTCGGGTGGACAGGACACTTTAAATGCTCATCCTGTCCTATAATGCCTTGCTGATTTCCCCTCTCAATGTTCTCCTCCCTCAATGTGAACAGAGCTAAAAAAACAGTGGTGCTTTAAAACATACAAGTTCTTCATCTGACCCTGACCAGTCCAGCCTGACACTACAGGAGGAAGTCATAATCAAAGAAACAACAAACACTTAGGACAGCCATTAAAGGTCAGTTTTTGGAATGTCCCAGAGCTCCTCTTCCTCTACTGTAAATGTTAGAACCCAAGCTGACAGACAGTATGATAGAGCTCAAAGAAGAAAGCAGAAAACTCAGAGAGATCTTACCTTCACATTGATATCAGCAAACTCTTTCTCTACCCAGGTGATCTGTGACTTGTACTGCTTATGTGGGGTTGGGGAGGAAAGAGAGCAAACAAAGAGAGAAACAAACTAAGAACAAAATGAATGTTTTCTTTACACTTCCACTCCTGTGCACTGATGAAGCACTTCAAGAATCTTCTCTCCACCAAAGTTTTCATAATTAAAGAGATAGCTCACCCAACAATCAAAATCCTGTCAATGTCAATGAAAGGCTGAAATTTACAATGCTATTCAATGATAATCTTCCTTTTCAGTGGGTAGAACGTTCGCTTTGTTCTGAAACAGGGACTTAAATTGTTACAATTCAATCGGGCCGAGTCCACCTCATTCAGATGATCTCAGACCGATTGTTTTGTGCAGACTGGGGGTCTGTACCATGAAGCCGGATTAGCTGGCTAGCCAGGTAAGTTTCAGTTTAGTTTGCACCAATCCTGGGTTTTAGGTACCATGAAAGTGGCTTGGGTTTTAGCAGCGTTCATTGCCATAGTAACTTACACTCCACAGCTAACCTGCTCCAGGGCAGGTTATGTTCTGGGTAAGAGATGTCAAATGGAAATTGGACCAATCAGATGTGAGCAAAGTGACACGTCTGACGCAAAAAAAGTCACTCCCCCAGTTTCTCTTCCTCCAAATTAAAGGTCACTATATAGTAAAAAAAAAAAAATTAAATTAAAAAATAATAATAAATATATATATATTAAATATATATTCCTATACATTCATTATATTAAATGAATATTAATATTTACAGATCATGTAATATAAATAAGCTGTAGAATAAATAGATAATGCTTTAAAAATTACTACATGTGACCTTACATGTTCGAGTCTCTATTGCTATTTATTATCAACCATATAAACTAACTTCACAAGTTTCACTTGTGACTGCACTGATAGAGCAAGATAATTTCTTTTATTTGTCCTCTTTCATGGACAACTACTTTCTTCAGTGTAAATGCGTTTAAATTCCTCATATTCTTCAATCTCTTAACCTTAACAAAAGAGTTTTGAATCTCACTGGGTCTCTCGCGAGAAGTGAAAGGCATGCTCTGTGTTGCAAGGCATGTGATTGGTTGTTCGCCACTGATGTCACACATTCATGTGCACGCGTTTACACAGACTAAGGATCAAAGCCAGAGTTGACAAAGAAAGTTGATGAACAGCATTGAGGTACCAACAACGGATTGGAGTGGTTTGGTTTTGTCAACTCAAAACTATTCCTGTAACTCTGAATTTGTTCAACTACCATCATGGTACAGGCCCCCGGGCGTGATTGCTGTGCTCATATATGTCTAAACAAACCGAACTAAAGCCCAAAGTACTGTCCTCGTGACGCAATTTTCATCATCAGAAGAACAAAAGAGTTTTGAATCTCACTGGGTCTCTCGTTGAGACATGAACGAGTCAAGTAGGTGGTACTGTGCATGTGCTGAGCTCTCCTATCCGTGCTCATCCGCGGTTGAGTATACATTGAAAGCTGTGTGGATGCAACCATGAAAACGCGAAATGCAGAAAGCGAAGTATACCTGGGCCTTAAGGGAGAAAACATGCTTCTGGTTCTGAAATAAACGCTCCAAATGAGCAAAAAGTCAGTGAGTTGAACTCACAAACCAGATCACTCAGATTAGCAAAACGGATCATATAATGGATTCGGGCGTGATTGCTGTGCTCATATATGTCTAAACAAACCGAACTAAAGCCCAAAGTACTGTCCTCGTGACGCAATTTTCATCATCAGAAGTGTCCGCGTGGGCGGTCCGCATACAACATCGCAGACGTGAGGTGAATGTTGAGACAGAACGAGTCAAGTAGGTGGTACTGTGCATGTGCTGAGCTCTCCTATCCGTGCTCATCCGCGGTTGAGTATACATTGAAAGCTGTGTGGATGCAACCATGAAAACGCGAAATGCAGAAAGCGAAGTATACCTGGGCCTTAAGGGAGAAAACATGCTTCTGGTTCTGAAATAAACGCTCCAAATGAGCAAAAAGTCAGTGAGTTGAACTCACAAACCAGATCACTCAGATTAGCAAAACGGATCATATAATGGATTTACTTAAAGGTTTTCAAAAAAGACAAATATCTATTTACAGGTAAACTTCACATCCAGATAAAATTTTGGTACATTGCTTCAGAAGACTTTTAATACAGTGAGACATATGGACCTTGCTACACTATAAAACAGTGACCGACACAAGTCTTGATGGTAAATAAATGTTAGCATTTTAATTTTTTTCATGTGAACTATCCCTTTAATTGCTGTAGTAAAGAACTGAATATGGTTGTTCGGTGTTGAAACAAAAACAGTGTATCAGTCGAAACTTCCTGTTTCAGCTGAGGTTGAGAGAAAAACTTCTCTAATATTCTTTCTGCAGTCACTCTTGCATTCACCAGTGACCTTTAATATGCAACACTGTGTAACAGATATGCAATCTATATAAAACTTCTTATTTTATGTATCACTTTACTTTCACTCTACTTGAATTAAACGCCAAGAGGGAAAACATATGCACAAATAGCACTTCCGCTGTCATTAATTTGTAATAGCAATGAGCACATCCATCTCTGTAAGCTCTCCATTACTTACAGTTGAACTAAAATGATTCAAGCTTCTGACAGAATTTTTAACTGGACAATTAATAATTGATATAAAAGCTAAAAGAGAAAACATACAGGATTTAACACCTAATACATTTTTCGCAATGCAAAACAACTTACAAAGCTACAGGCTGCAGGTTTTTTGCATCGTAAACCAGACGTTTCCTGTTTCAGAAATGTTCAAACCAGTTCGGTCACACAGAAAAGTCATAGTGAAACGGCTTACAAATGAGGGACGTGCCCACAGAAAACTTGTTAAAAAAAACCTTCAGTTGAATTTTAAACAAAAACATCCCGCGCAAATCAACACAAGTCACAACATAGAGGATAACGCCCCATCTGGACCTCTCGTTATCTCTCACCTCGAATCCTAAAACCCCTCTACCACACTTCTCTCAATTCCCTCGGGTAAAGGACAAGTACACTTGCCTGTTGTATGCGTGGCTTGGTGCGGAAGATATGCCTCCACATCTCCACCCTGACCCATGTCACTAAGGACAGAGGCTTCAGCAAGGGCTGTCTGTCTCTCTCACACACACAGACCTCGAGTGATTAGAAATGGGGAAATGCCGAAAAAAACATAAGGGACAGCCGGGTGATGCGTATTTATATGAGTGGACCGGGTAGGAAATGGTGAAACTTCAGAGAAAAACTACATGTCAACCTGAGTCACACAATTCCTTTCTTGGTATTGACACAGAAGTGTTTCTACACTTTGATGGCTTTAGTTGCGCAAGAATGAGCTCTAGGTGTCTTTTACCATGCGGACATGTGCCAACCAATTTTTGACCAATTTTGTCCCCATCACTTGTGCAATCTATGAGCACCTCCAATTACTCAGGGGTTCACATAGGGTTCTTGTGTTTCAATTGGTAAAGCATGCTGCTGGCAACACTGAAGTCATGGGTTCGATTCCCTAAAAATGCACTGTAATTCACTACATATAAAAACATACTACAATTTAATTAAGTCTCTTATGCTCACTGATGATGCATTTATTTTATCAAATATAAAGTAATAGCAGTAATATTGTGAAATATTACAATTCAAAATAATTGTTTTCTATTTTAATGTATTTTAAAATGAAATTAATTCCTGTGATGGCAAAACTGAATTTTCATCATTCTAATGCTGATTTGGCACTCAAGAAACATTCCTTGTTATCACAGTTAAAAACAGCTGTTTAATATTTTTGAACAATGTAGATTCTGTAAAAAAAATCATTGTTAGTTATGATACATAATACAGTAATGAATTATAATGAAAATTTACTGTAAAGTTTTGAATAAAAAGAAGAACTTCTTTAAATATGTGCTCAACCTAATTAATATTCATGACCCTTTGCCAGCACACTGAGTGCTTAGTGACTTCCCAAGGCCGTTCACACACCTTCCCCACTCACCCGCCAGTTAAAGGGGTCATATGATGCTGCTAAAAAGAACATTATTTTGTGTATTTGGTGTAATGAAATGTGTTTATGCGGTTTAGTGATGCTAATGGTCAAGCAGTCCCCACAGCTTCAGCCCTACAACACGCCCTGACACCTTCACTACTCGGCCTCCAAAACCATCTGAACGCAAGTTGCAACAGTTACAGCTCTGCGTGTGTTGCTAAGCAGCGAGTGCTGCTGACTTTCGTCTTGAGCCGCACGCGACTCGTCTCTTTGTGTGGCCACCTGTTGCACTGGATTTACAGAACTGCTCATTCTGAACAAAGACGCGCGTGCAGCTGGTGTGTGAGTGGAAGCGATGTGCACTAGTCACACCAATCAGCTGGCAAAGGGCTAGAAGAGGCTTAAGAATTAATTGGCAAACATGAAGTGGGAAAAACTGTTTGAGTCTCTTTGATCAGTGAAAGGTTGTTTATGAATATGTATGCAACCCTCATTAACTGAGCGAATAAACATGAGATTCTAATGAGTAAAGAATAGTCTGGTTGGGCTGGTGGGAAGTGGCTGAGTGAGCACTTCATAGTTTAAGAGTCTCTGAGAGGGACGCATTGTTCTGGAGTCTCTTAATTTGGAACCAGGGGATGGGTGCAGATGCAGCACTGTAGCCGGCCACTAGAGGGCAGCGCAGGTCTGTGTAAATGGCTGTGCAATTTAAGCATCATTAATATGTAAATGTCAAAATGCTTTATATAAATAGGTGATGAAAACATCCTGCTGTGTAAAAAAAACAACAACCAAAAAAAAAAAAAAAAACCAAGAGGAAAAGAAGCACTGCGACATCCAACAGCAGCACAATCCAAACACACTTTTATACAGCTAAACATTGTGGGGCCTTTCCATAGATTTCTATTGTTTTTATACTGACAACATTTTCTATCCACAAAACCTAAACCTCACAGAAACCTCTTCTGCATTTTTATATTTTCAGACATCATATAGTATTTTTAATAATTTATTTCCCTTGTAGGGACGGCC